TTGCAGGGAACTCCCAGGTGAAACCCAAAGCAACTCCTGCAGCTCTGTGGGAGCGCAGCCACCTCACACCCAACTCATTCCAAGCTTCAGGAAACCTCAGGCTACCTCGAGGATCTGACAGTCTGGATTCCAGGATCTGGGGCAGGAACCCATGGAGCAGCCCAACCTTTCAGCTCCTCATTTCAGAGTCGCTCCATCTCCGATTGTTCCCGGATATTCCCGTGTCACTCCGCTGTGTGCTCATGGCACAATTCCAGATTTCTGCAGAGATGCCCAGGCCATGAGCACAAACCACTGCCCCAGTCCTGGCATCTGACCATGTATTGGAAAAACCCCTACGGATGATTCCTGCCCATTCCAGAAACTCGGTGCCTCTGGGACAGCAATTCCTCCCCACTCACCCTGGGTTTCCAGCCTTTTTTGTGAGGTTGGCTGAGCATCTGCTGGTGATTAAGGGTTTTGTCATCTGGAAAGAGCTGACAATTACCTCCAATTATTCCAACTAGGTCAGGTTCTTCAGCACAAGTTTATGTGATGACTCTTGGCTGGAATTTAGGATTTCAAACCCCACTGGAGAACAGAATCCACCTCTCCTCTCTCACATTCAGGAAAAAATTCCTTCCATAAATAACAGCTCCTTGTCCCACAGGACCTGACCTGTGTGTCCCTGACCTCCTGCTGTTTCAGGACAACACCCCAGGAACTGCACAACAGGCCTGGTTCTCCAGATCTGGAAAAGGGAGTGAAGGGAATTTCAGGATGCTCCAGGAATTCTGAGAGGGGTTTTCTCATCAAACTTTCCATGTCAAAATTCTCTACTTGCTTGGAAATGTCTTTTGGTGCCTCAGGTGCCAGGTGAGAGAGTGGGGACTGAGGTTTAAACTCTGTGTGGGCAAAGGATGCCTCATTCCTGGGACCCACTGTCCTGGACAGGCTCTAATTTCCCACTGGGAGCTTCTCATTGTGTGAGCAGCAAACATTTAACAGGGGCTGCACTGATTCCTGCCAATCCAAACTCTTCCAGGGCTCTTTGAACAGTTGTACCTCTCCAGCCCCACAGCAGATTTGGGCTGTCCCTCTTCTCCAGGGAAGGGGTTTTTCCAGGTGTCCCTCAAAAGCTCAGAGTTTCTCCATACTCCATTTCCCATTCAAGACTCAACGTGCCTGAGAATCCTCCTCAGGAATCTCCTGCAGAGCAGGAAAGGTGGAGTGAACTGAGAACCCAAGATGCCATTTGGTTCTGTCCTTGTCACGCTGGCCAGCACAGGTACCTCGTGTTTTCCAGCAGGTTCCTGGCAGTGCTTCCCACAGAGATTCCCTTGGGGACAGGAGCGTGTCCCACAAACCCCAGCTCGGAGCACACCCCCAGGAGTGAGATGGTCCAAATGGGACAAACACAACTGGAAAATGGGCTGCACTGCACAGCCAGGAGATTCCAACTCCTTCTCCCTAATTACATGTGATTGCTTCTTGGCAAGAGCTCAACCTGCCAGAGCAGTGAGGTTTTACAAACATTCACACAGGCATTAGATCATTGTTTGAAGGAGTTATTGGCAGCCCGAATCTGAAGTAAAAACAGAGTTTAAAGCAGACCATATTGACCAGGGTGAAGCTGGCTGCTTTCATGTCTCCTGCTTGTCTCAGGACCCCATTCGTTTCCTGTCACTCCATCACCATGGCATTCCTGGGGCTGGATGTCACCATTTTGGGGGGTTCTGACTTTGTGGGGTTCTGTCCTTGGTGGGAACACAGGCTTATAGAATCAAGAATCTCAGGATGGTTTGGGTTGGAGGGACCTTAAATCCCACCCAGTGCCACCCCTGCCAAGGCAGGGACACCTCCCACTGTCCCAGGTTGCTCCCAGCTCCATCCAACCCAGCCTTGGGCACTGCCAGGGATCCAGGGGCAGCCCCAGCTGCTCTGGGCACCTGTGCCAGGGCCTCACCCCCTCCCAGTTGGGAATTCCTTCCTCTGCCATCCTCTCCCAAAACCTTTGGAAAGCAGGTGGGAGCTCAAGCCCATGGCAAAGGACAAATGGGAATTCCCATGGAATCCTGCTGCCAGTCCCTGGGAGAACAAACTCCCGCTGCAGAGGTGAGTCTGTCCTGCACCACGCTCAGGTGGGGCTGGGAGCCTCTGGCAGCTTGGAGATGGATAAAAATACTCCAGGCTCTGGCAGCTAACCAGGCTGGAGCTCCTCACAGAGCAGCTCCCACCCCGGGGCCCTGCAGGACACCCTGGCCTTCCATGTGTTCCTAAATTAGATCTCCTGAGACCAGGGCTGCCTTTTAAAAGGGAGGTGAGCTTGTTAGTGCCCAGCAATATCCCTTCGATGGGAATCAGCAGTTTTGCTGCACTTGGAGGGGCTGTGAAGGGGAAGGAGGGAAGGGGCAGTGTCAGGAAGCAGCAGAGACCCTTTGCCTGGCACGGGGGGCACTCAGGAGCTCTGTAATTGGGACATTCCCCAGTACTGAGGCAGAACAAGCTCCAGACTAAACCCAGGAGCTTTGGGAACGTGCAATAAGATCCAGAGAAGGTTTATAGGGGCAGTTCCCCAGCAGGCCCCTTCTCCTGAGGCCAAAACCCCCGGTTGGAAAGGGTCTAAGTGAGCATTGCCAAGCTCTCCACCCATGAAAGTCAGGGTGTGCAGGCTCCTTTCTTCCCAAACCATGGCTTGAGTTACACACCCCTGTGCTGCTGGCATAGGAAACCCAGGGAACTCACATTACAGGAGTAAAAAAGCTCCTGTGCTGTCAGAGATTCCCTTCCCAGCCTGCCCAGGGATCAGTAAGGACAAAAATTAATCAAAAGCAGCGTCTTTTGGTTACATAGACACCTCCAGAATCTGAACATAAACGGTGAAGAAACATCTGTGAGATCTGAGAGCTGCCAGGCACCAACTGAACCTGTCCCGCCAAGGCCATTTTTGAATCAGAACCCAAAATCAAAATGACAAAACAAACACAAATGACACAGGAACCATCCTGGAAAAGCCCTCAGGAACCTGCCATCATGTTTTAGAAAGAATGCAGAATTTCTGCTGCTTTTACAGTGCAAACCTGTTGGTGCAGCAGCGGCTTTAGGAAAATCTGAATCAACAAAAAGCTTAAAGACCTTTTTGATATATTAACCAGTCCCACACTCTGGGATGGATTAGTGATTATTGTCACCCTAAAATATAGGAATTTTGCAGGAGAGCTGACGTCCTTCCTAAGGTCAGACGTGATGAAATGGAGCCAGGAAGAAAAAATAATTGGTCCTGGTTTTAAGTGTTAAGCAATTCTGCCTCCCTGAAATAAGCAGTATAATTTATTGTTTTTTCTTGCTCACACAGCAAAATCCACAAACTGCCGAGACAACCAGGAGGGGGAATTTGTCCCCTCATGAAAATCCGTTTTTGCCTTGTAAAGCCGCATTCCCGAGCCAGCAGCTGCTCCAAAGGGCCGATCGCAAACCCCCCATTTCACTCCAGGCACCCCCGAGGCTGTTTGGGTTACAGGATCACCCCAGGACAGCCCAGGTGTGCTGGCCGGCCGCTTTGGGATCATGGAATTGACACACCAGAGCCGACTGTCAGCGTGTGGCCAAAGGCAGCCGCCACTTTCCCAGGGATTTTCCCTTTGCTGTGTGTTTGGAAGGTTACACAGCTGTAAGGCAGACACAGGAGGAGCTGGAAGCCTGCAGGGATCACTGCCTCCATCCCACATGTCCCATGGAAGGAAGCTCTCCCGTGGACTGACATCCCATTAACTCCTGCTGGTGGGAGTGTATTCCTGGGGCTGGAAATCCTTTGGAGCCTCCAACTGCTGGCTGCTCATCCCGCAGATAACTGCGGTCCCATCCCTGACCTGGTGACTCCTATTTATTTTCTCATTTTATAAGAACCAGGTTCTTCCCTGCTCTCATTCCTGGTGGGAACGAACACTGGTCGGGTGTGAGGCTGCTCTGTCTCGGATACCCGAGATGGAAATCTGGGATCTTGTCCAACAGGCTGTCTGTCTTCCTGGAAAAAACCTCGGCTCCACACGCTCCCAATCGTGCCCTCAGCTGGAGTGAGGTGGAACTTCACAGGATGGGACGAGGCAGCCCTTTTTCTAAAACGATCTGTGAGGACACAAAGTGTTTCCAGAGCCCAGGAGAGCTCAGGGAAGAAAATCGAGAGGGGACAAATCCTGGCAAAGCTTGGTAAAGGGCTCGGTGCTCTCCGGAAAGCGGCGGATCTCTGCCTAGGTCTCCATCAAATCCCAGAGACGGGATATTGGGAAGGAATTCCTACGTGTTAGGGTGGGCAGGCCCTGGCACAGAGTGGCTAGAGAAGCCCCTGGATCCCTGGAAGTGTCCAAGGCCAGGATGGACGGGGCTTGGAGCAGCCTGGGACAGTGGGAGGTGTCCCTGCCCATGGCAGGGGTGGCCCAAGACAATCTTTACGGTTCTTTTCCCCCTCCATATCTGCCCCCGTTTCCCGCCATCGCCCCAGCCCTCAGGGACTGCGCCCCGGGTTCTACCGGCCCCGCGCGCAGGGGCTGCGAGCGGCGGGAAGCGCCGGGACCAGCCGGGGGCGCCACCGCCTCGGGCCCCACTGCGCATGTGCGCAGCGCCCCCTGCCAGAGCGCGGGAAAGCAGCGACGGGCTTGACCACCAGAGGGCACCGGGGGGGGGGAATGTCTGTAACGGGCCCGGGGCTCCGGTGTGAGGCCTGGAACTCCCCAGGCTCCGACGTGAGGCCTGTGACAACCTCGGGGCTCCGGTGTGAGGCCTGGAACCCCCCAGGGGCTCCGGTGTGAGGCCTGGAACTCCCCAGGCTCTGACATGAGGCCTGTGACAACCTCAGGGCTCCGGTGTGAGGCCTGGAACCCCTCGGGGCTCCGGCCTGCGGCCGCCTCAGCCCACCGTGCCCACCGCAGCCCGCCAGAGAGAAGCCTCCGCTTTCGTGTGATTATAAATAACTTTATTGCTGCGGTGCTGGGGGTGGACTGGGTGCCTGGACAAGCAAAGGGACACACAGGGTGCTGTGACAGACCTGTCCCCCCACTTCCCCTGCCACCCGTGCTGGCAGGGGCTCATCTGCCCTGCTCCTGCAGCCGCTGCATCCTCAGGATCTGGCACAAGAGTCTCTGCACGTCTTCGTCCATGTGGCCCTGGGGTGGAGGAGGCATTGGTGGGCACATGGAGTGGGGACATCAGGGCAGCTCCATGCGTGTCCCCGGGCTGGCACCTATCCCAGCCTCCATGCCAGCGTCCCCAGTCCTGTCCCCAGCTCACCTGTACGGCATAGAGCAGGTGGCTCCGGTACAGCGTCACCACCTTGCTGTGCCTCGTCTCTGTCTCCTGCAGCACAGGGAGGGGGTTTGGCCACAGGGCTGGGTGGTCGGGGGAGCCCCAAACCCAGCAGGTGACCCACCTCCAGCTTCTCCTCCAGCGCCCGGATCTGGGCCTGGAGCGCGGCCGTGTTGGGTGGGGATTGTGGAGGCCCCCCTGACTCGGGGAGGGCGTTCAGGACTTCCTTCAGCCTGAAAACCTCCTTGGAGAGCTCCGTGATCTGCACAGGGCATAGGGGTTACAGGTTACCCAGAGCAGCTGTGGCTGCCCCCGGGTCTCTGGAATTGTCCAAGGCTAGGCTGGACGGGGTTTGGAGCAACCTGGGACAGTGCCATGGCAGGGGGTGGAATGGGATAAGCTTTAAGGTCCCTTCCAGCCCAAATTCAGTGACTCCACATGTGTGGCCGAGCAGCCCCTCACGGTTCTCTGTCCCCTACCTTCCTGTCCCTGTCCCTGACCAGCCGTGCCGCATCTTCAGCGTGGCCATGCAGCTCCCGCAGCCGCCGCGCCTCGTCCTGGGCCTGCTCCAGCTGCTTCTGCACGGCGCCCAGCCTGTCCTCCGCCGCCTGCCGCTCGCTCTTCATGAACAGCGCCTGCCGCTGCACACGGAACACCTCCTCGCACGTCTTCTCGTGCCGCCGCTCCAGCTCCTGCAGCCGCTGCGCCAGCGCCGCCGCCTCCGCCCGCAGCCCGGCCTCGGCCGCCTCGTGCTGGGCCCGCGGCACGGCCACCGCCAGCTCTGCCTGCAGCTTCGAGGCCTCGCGGGCTTTGGCGTCGGCCGCGGCCTCCAGCTGCGCCAGGCGCTCCCGCAGGGCCCGCGCCTGCTCCTGCAGCGTGGCCGTGGCACGGGCGTGCTCGTCCCGGGGCACCCAGCCTTCGGCCTGCGCCCGCTGCAGCCACGCCGGAGCCTCCTCCTCGTGCTCCCGCAGCCGCTCCCGCAGCGCGCCCAGCTCGGCCTCCCTGCGCGCCAGCGCGGCCCGGAGCTCCGCCAGCCGTGCCTCGGCCTCCGCCGCTCCGGGCGCATCCCGCGGCCTCGCCGCCAGCTCCCGCCGCAGAGCCTCGGCCTCGGCCTCGGCATGCCCGCAGCGCTCCAGCAGTGCTTCCTTCTCCCGCGACGTCTCCTCCACGGAGGCTCCCGGCGAGGCCGCGGCCTCCAGCTGGGCCTGCAGCTCCTTCAGCCGCCGCTCCCGCTCCTCCAGCTCGGTCTGTGCCCGCTTCAGGGCCGCCCGTGCCTCTGCCAGCTCCGTGCCTGGCTCCCGCTCACCGGAGGGTGAAGAGGAGGAGGATGTCTGCACCCCCAGCTCTCTCAGGGCCGCCTTGCACTCGCCCCAGGCCCAGGCTGGCTCCTCGGCAGGGCGTAGCCACGTGGTTCCCTCCGGGATGGGCTCCGAGGCCCCGCGCTGCCCGACCCCTCCGGCCCGCGCCGTGGCCTCCCTGCCCTGCGCCCGCAGCCTCTCCAGCTCCCGCTGCAGGGCCTGGTACAGACTGGCGGGCACCACGTCCCCCGGGGCAGCGGGGCTGCTCTCATCCCGCTCGTAGTTCTCCAGCACCTGCCGACAGACCGTGAGGCCACTGTGGGCCAGGGGACAAGGAACAGAGGGACAGACGGATGGACAGAGGGGGACGTGCCTGGATTTTCTCCCTCAGCTCCTTGTTCTGCACAGTCAGGGACTGCACCTGCCCCTGGAGTGTGGCCAGCAGCTCCTCGGCCGAGGGGCTCAGTGTCTTCTTGGAGAGCAGCATCTCCGCTCCTGCAGGGCACAGGGACCTGGGGCTGTGCCCACTGTGCCCCCACTGCCCAGTGCCACCTCCCCGAGGTGTCCTTGGGAGGCCGGCAAGACCTACCTGGGAACTCGAGTGGGACCCCCTCCTCGTCTTGCAGCGTCTCGATATCATAGCTCGTGTTCTCCTTCTCATTCTGGGGGTGCAGGGTGGAGGTGACCCCCCTGTCCCCAGCCCTGGGCACTGCCAGCTGTGTCCTGCCCACACCCACCTCCATCGAGGACAGGCGGCTCCGCAGAGCCTCCACCTCCTTGCCCAGCTTGTCCTTCTCCCCATCCCGTGCCACCAGCTGCTCCTCCAGCTCCCGGATCTGCAGGGCAGGACACAGAAATAGGGTCCCCTTGGCTCCTGGCATTCCCAGCACCAGGACCCCTCGGAGAGCTGAGGTCACCTCCAAGCTCTTCCCTGGCCTCACCTGCTTCTCCATGGAGCGCAGGGAGCTCTCATCCAGCTCCGCCCGCTGGCAGGACCCAGGGAGAAAACGGGGAGGGATGAGTGCTGTCCCCATCTGCCCGTCCCCTCTGCTCCCTGTGGACACGGGAGCATCTCCCCAGGACCCTGCAGCCGGTACCTCCCGTCTCTGCTTCTCCTGCTGCTCCAAGCCCCGGATCTTCTGCAGGAACTGGGCCCTCTCCTGCCGCAGCCGCACGATCTCCTCGTAGGCATCCCGGTCCTCCTGCAGGGAATCACAGAAAGCACTGAGTCCAACTCCTGGCACAAGAAACCCCAGAAATCCCGCTGCGTGCCTGAGGGGGCTTTTTGGCACAGACCCCGCAATGAGGGACCTCTCACTGAGGAGTGGTTTGGGCTGCTCTGCACCTGCCAGGCCAGGTGAGGACCTGGGGATCCATTTCTCACCTGGCTGGAGGTGCCCAGGGGAGGCAGAGGGGCCTTCCTCTTCCTTGGGGTGCTGTTCTTCTCCCTGACGGATGACTGGCTGGGCGAAGACGTCTGTGGGCACCCCAGGGCAGAGGAGAGGTGACACTCACAGTGCCCTCCCTCCTTCCTGAGCCAGGGGACCCTCAGGGATGGACACCAGCCCTCACCTGCGATGTCTGCTCAGTCGACTCCTCTTCTGTGGGACAGAGCAGCAGGGAAGAGAAATTGAGGAGATTTAGGAGCTCAGGTGAGTGCAGGGGCACTTGGGCTGGGGACAGCACAGGCAAAGGCGGCTCCAAACATCCAGAAAAAGGGGACACGTGCCCCCGGCCCCTGCCAGCCCTTCCCTGCCGGCGACAACCCCCAGTGACGGTGTCAGGGAGCGCGGGGTGCCCCGGCAGCCTCACCGCTGGCCCAGGAGCGGCGCTGGGCCGCCTCCTGCAGGAGGTGCTGGATGAGGGCGTTGCCCGTGGCCAGCCCGTAGTGAGCGGCGTCGTGGCCGGTGGCATCCACCACGGCCACGCGGGCGCCGGCGCTGACCAGCACCTCCACGGTGTCCACGCTGCCGCTCTCGCAGGCCAGCATCAGGGCTGTCCTGGGCACGGGGAGAGCGCGGGTGAGGGACAATCCCCGCGGCCGCTCCCGGCCCCCAGCGCTGCAGCCCCACCTGCCCTGCAGGTCCCGGCAGTTGACGGCGGCCCCGCGGTGCAGGAGGTACCGGCACAGCTCCGAGTGGCTCATCTTGGCAGCCAGGATCAGCGGCGTGGAGCCGTCCTGGGCACGGCACGGGGGAGGATGAGCAGGAAGGCTCAGATCCCCCCACGGGCACCCTGCTCCCGATGTCACCCCGATTTCCATGGCCCACCCCAAGCTGTGCTGCGTTTCGGGATGGCCGCAGCCTGGCACAGCAGGACCGGGAGCAGAGGGACCTCACCTTGTCCTTGCTGTTCAAGGGAGCCTTGAAGTCACAGAGGATCTCGGAGCAGGAGATGCAGCCGCTGGCAGCTGCGGACAAGGACAGAGGCTGAGCGCTGCCCCCGCGGGGACATGAGCGGGACAGGGCTGGCACTGTCCCTACTCACCCGCCAGGTGCAGCGCGGTCCTGCCGCTGCCATCGGCCACATCCACGGGGCAGGAGGCCTGGGGGGAGAGCCTGGGTCACGGGAGGAGGGGGACAGAGGGACAGACTGCTCGAGTGGCTCTGGCACAGTGAAGGGCAGGGGACTGACAGACTCCGTGGTGTGGCGAAGGAGGGGGACAGACAGACAAACCCCCTCTGGCTCCACGCTGTGGTGAAGGACAAGGGACAGACCCCCTGTGGCTCCCTGGTGCCGGGCAGCAGCGCACGGAGCTGGGAACCAGCATGCCGAGGGTGAGGGAAGGGGGTTCAAGGACAGGGAGGACACCGCGCTGGCACAGCACCTCCCTCCATCCCTCTGTCCCTCCTCCCTCTCCCTGTACCTGCAGCAGTTTGCTGACACACTGAGGGTGGCCGTGCTTGGAGGCCAAGTGCAGGGCAGTGTAACCTGGGAAGGGACAAACAGGTCAGAGCACGGCCAGCAGGGCTGTGCCAGAGGGGACAGCTTGGGGACAGACAGAGAGACGGGCACAGCAGGATCTGCTGGAATGGGGCTGAGCAGGAAGGGGACAACCCCAGGAGCTCATCAGGCACTGCTTGAGCTCCTTTAGGAAACTGGGACAATTCACAGCCCCCCAGGTGTGGCCACCACCTCTGTTCCCTCAGCCTCAACACCTGGGGACAACCAGTGGCTCCGTGTGGCCCATGGCATGAGGCAGGGGCACGTGGTGGCCGTGCCCTCACCCGAGCTGTCCTTGGTCATGGCATCCACGCCGTGGGCCAGCATTGCTTCCAGGCAGTCCACGTTGCCCCGTGTGGCGGCCAGGTGGAACCTGCAGTGAGACCAGGGGCTGTGGGACTCGTGTCCCCTGTCCCCAGCCGTGTCCCCAGGGCGGGGCTGGCACTCACGCCGATTTGCCCTCCGAGTCCAGCTTGGTGGGCACCAGGCCCTTGCGGAGCAGGAGCGACGTGACCCGCCCGGCATCGTTGTAGTCCACGGCCTGCAGCAGCTTCTCGTCGTTCTTGGTCCAGTCCTGGCTCTGCAACGGAGCCCAGAGGAGGCTGTGACAGTGTCAGCTGTGACAGTGCTGTCCCCAGGGCGGGCAGGGCTGGGCTGGGCTGGCTGTCCTTGTCCCCATCCCTGCTGTGCTCCATCCAGCCCTGTCCCTGGGGGTGGCTGTGTCTGTGCCCCTCTCCTGGGAGCCCACCCCCAGCTACAGAGTTCAGCTGGGATTGGGATGAAAATCCCCTGCAGCCCCCCCAGTTTGCAGCTCACAGAGCAGGGGATTTACAGACACAGCCTAGTTTAGCTGTGCCAGGCTGGGATTTGGCAGTGAGCTCAACTGCCCCGGGGTTTGCCCCAGCCACCCCAAAATCCCAGTACTAAACCCAGCCAGCATCCTTGGGAGCCCCAGCCCTGCCCATTCTCCCCACTGATCCCATTCCCAGCCCTGCTTTCCTTCCCGGAGGAGGAAGGGATCAAACCGGGGCGAGCACAGCTGGCAGCCAGAGCAGATCCCTAGGGATGCTCCAGCCTCCCGGGACAACGGGGCACAGCTCTGTCCCCCACAAAACCCCAGATGGGGATTTGCTCTCCCGGTGCCCCCCCAATCCCTGTCCCGAAGGAGCGACCCGGAGCAGGACAGGACCAGGACAAGGACTGCAAGTCCTGGCTTCACCCCGCAGCCGGTGACGACAAAGCGGCGCTGGCTGCGGTCGCGGCGGCAGGAAATGGATGTCACCTTTCGGGAGCCGCTGGCACCTGTCCCAAACCCGCCTGTGCCCGCCGGGTGCCCCCCGAGCCCCTCCAGCCCAGCGGGACCAGGGACAGGGAACAAACCAGTCTCCCAGAGCTCCTGGGCAAACTGGGAGGGTGGTGCCCGCTCCCCCCACCCCCTTGTCAGGCAAGGACAAAGCAGGATGGGGAGGACACGGGGGAGCCCCGCGATGGGGATGGGGATGGAGGCTGCAGGTGGGGCGGGGGGGACGCGGCCGGAGGGGAGCCGGGACGTACCGCGAAGGAGGCGGCGGCGCAAAGGCAGATCTGCTTCATGGTGCTGAGCAGGAGGCGGCGGGAGGACGCCATGCGCCCCCCGCCCCCCGCCCCGGCCGGCACGGGCACCCCCGAGCCCGAAGCGCTCCGGCATCGCCGCCCGGGCGGGGGCCGGGGCTGCGGCAGTGGGAGCCGGACCCGCCTCCTCCACCCCCGGCCCTCCCTCCTTCCCTCCCTCCTCAGCATCCCCCGCTCCGCGCATCCCTGCATCCCGCCACGGAGCGGGGAGCAGCTCCCAGGCAGGGACCGGCACCCAGACTGGGCCCAGGAAAAGTCGGAGAGGTTGCGGGAGGGCAGCTGTCCCACCTCGTGCTCAAAAGCACCCCCAAAACAGGGCTGAGCATCTTCCTGGCCCCCGAGGAGGGGGCCCTGGCGCCCCCCGGCCTGCCCTGGGGCCAAGGGAGGGGTAGATCCCCCCGCCTGCACCTCACTGGCCCCCCAAACACCCCTAGGGAGGAACCCCAAAACTCAGAGGGTCCCCAGGTGCTGTCCGGGCAGTCCCGCTGGCAGCAGGACATCGGGAGCCCCTCAGGGACGCGTCCAGGGCAGTGTGGGGAAACCGAGGCACCCCGTGCAGGATGGTCCCCCAGACTCCAGGTGAGGAGCTTCAAGCTGTGTCCCCATGTCCCCAGCTGTGTCCCTCCCAGTGCACTGGGGACAGCGCTGTGCCCCTCTGCCCTCTGCGGCCCCGTGCCAGGCTGCTGCTGAATAATTGAGGAGCATCGACAGGCTGCTTCCGCGGGCTGTGGCAGCTGGCAAAGCGGCACTTGTCCCCAGGAAGGGGACAGGGAGGGGACCTGGGACACGCTTCCTTCCCCTTTGCTCTGCCCCACTCCCAGTGATGGCTCTGGGAGCACTGGCAGTGCACTGGGGGCTCCATCCCATCGGCCAGGATGACAGTGCCAACCTCTGTGGGGCTGCTGTCCCCCGTTGTGAGTGACCACCATGTGTCCCAGGGCAAGTCCCCGTGTCGCTGTGACTCTGGGGGTATCCTGGGGGAAATCCCCAGGTCCTCATGTCCCAGTGAACGCCCCAGGGCAGGTCCCCGTGTCCCCATGGACATCCTAGAGCAGGTCCCCGTGTCCCCATGTCCCCAGGGATGGCACTCACATCTGCCTTCTTGAACCTGGCCTTCAGGCTCTTCATGGTGGCCCAGCCTCAGCCCTGCGGCACCTGCTCGGGGGGGATGGCCACGCTCGAGGGTCTGTCCCTGCCTGGGGACAGCTCAGCGCCCCCGATCCCGCGGCTCCCAGCCCGTCCTGGCGCTCCCGGAGCCGGGAACCGGAGCCGGGGATTGTGTTACGGCCGCGGCTGCGGTTTCAGCCCCGGGCAGCCGGGGGGGCCGGGCCGGGCCGTGTTTGGGGAGGGATCTGCGGCCACCTGCCATGCCCGGGGACAGGGGACACGGCCCGGGGGGGCTGGGGGTGCCTGGGGAGGCTTGGCACCTCTCGCCCATCCCAAACACACCTCACCCTTGGTTGCGGCTCCTCTCCTGACCTGACACCCCCGCCCCGGCAGCCCCTGGTTTTGCCAGCACCTCCTGTTCTTGTCAGTGTGCCCTGCCCCTCCCTGGCACCCCTGTCCTTCCCTGTCCTTCCCTGGATTTGCCAGCACCCCTAACCCATCCCCGTGTCCCCCCGGGCCGGGGGTTCAGTGCAGGTGCGGCAGTGTCGGGATAGTGTCAGGACAGGGGGAGGGCGGTGTCGGGATAGTGTCGGGGCAGTGTCCGGACAGACTCGGGGCAGTGTCAGGACAGACTCGGGACAGTGTCAGGACAGACTCAGGGCAGTGTCAGGACAGACTCAGGGCAGTGTCAGGACAGACTCAGGGCAGTGTCCGGAC